CTGCTTTTTGGCTCTACTGTTTTTCCGGTAAAAATCGTTGTTTCCCCGATCGCGGATGAGCCAGTGACGAACCTGAATCGGTGTCACCTCCTAATTCGAAATTGGGGGAAGGCGAAGGGTTCCCCGGGTGCACGTGAATCATCATGCACGCAAATGACATGGCTCGGGGAGGTTCCCTAAGCAGATTTGAAAGAGACAGGGTGTCCTCATGCATGCAGACGAGAAAAGTGAACAGACCGTTGAAATAGATTCGGGTCAGAAAACTTGGGCTTTTGCCGAATCCTATTTCAAGCCCAGTTAACCTTTCAAGCTTGGATAACCCCCTTCAGCCCTCTACTCAGCCTCGTTGTGATCATGTGTCTAACCAAAGCCCAGTAACCATTACCCGTAACCCAAATCCAATTGATAACCCAAATCCAATCGAAAACCCCCCAACCTCTAAACCTGGTTAGCAGCTAGTTCCTGTTAAAAGAACCCTTTCCTTTCTATTATCCCAACTATCTTTCCCACCACAAGAATCCCTAAGTTCCGTTGATCTTGTTGAACCAACTTCCATACAACTCATTCACCTCCTGTCATCTAGTTTCCTGCTCCTGAAACCTCGTTTCTCTGTTCTAGTGAACCCCTCCACCTTCCTAGATCGAGCTCTTGCTTTCAACCTCGTTGTATCTCTAACCATCCTCTGTAGCCCAAATGACAATCCCCACACCTCCTCACCTTTTGATTTCAATGATATTCTCCTTTCATCCCCTGAAGCTAACCTTGCCACCTCTGTTGATGAGTCTGATAACTCTGCTCAACCCGACGCCCTGGCCTCTGATCCCCCCTCCCCTACCTCATCAAGTGATAACCCCCTGGCCATGGCAGTACACCAGCCTCTTGATAAGGATTACTTTCAAGCATGGCAAGATGAACAGGACCTATCCCGTCTTTCCGAGAGTTGTCTGGCCCTTTGTCGATGTTTAAAGCTTTCATCTGAAGATACAGGGGTTGAGCCGGGAAAGAAGATAATGGATATGGCTATTGAGGCCAAGAAAAGGAAAAGAGCGCCGAGATCGAAACAGCAGATGGAAGAACACAGGTTGGGAACCAGGCAAGATGCTCCCACAGAGTTGTCTGGCCCTTTGTCGTCTTTCCGAGAGTTGTCTGGCCCTTTGTCGATGTTTAAAGCTTTCATCTGAAGATACAGGGGTTGAGCCGGGAAAGAAGATAATGGATATGGCTATTGAGGCCAAGAAAAGGAAAAGAGCGCCGAGATCGAAACAGCAGATGGAAGAACACAGGTTGGGAACCAGGCAAGATGCTCCCACAGAGCCTCGAATAAGGAAGAAAAATTCTCGCCTTGGGGATCCAAGTAGCGGTTGCAGAGCTGATTAAATTTTTTCTAATGGTCTTGACGTCGATATTAGCTTGGAACGTTTGTGGATAGGGGGCTCCCGAGAAAAGGGCGAGAATCAAAGGGATTATCAGAAGAATTCGATCTAATATTGTTTGCTTAATGGAAACAAAATGGAATGAATGCTCCCAACAACTCATTATATCAGTTGGCGGTAGCAAGGCCTCAAAATGGGTAGCGAAGGACGCTTATGACTCTAAAGGTGGGATTGCTGCTTTTTGGGAACCAGGCGAGTATACCCTGTTGGATGTGTGGGAAGGGTCTTTTTCCCTTGCAGTTAGACTTCATTCTATCGATAGCAATCAAGTTTTTGCTCTTATGGTGATTTATGGACCACAAGAGAAAGAGGAAAAGTTGGCTTTCATCCGGGAATTGCACCAAGTTTGCCAAAGATATTCAGAACCTTTGTGTGTGATTGGGGACTTCAATTTAGTCCATTCTCAGGATGACTACAGAGGGGGACCAAGAAACAGTGAGGTTATAATGGAGTTCAATAGCATGATCACTTCCAACAATTTGTGTGACTTACCCCTGAAAGGTGCTCAGTTCACGTGGAGCAGTGGCGGTGGTAGAGCTTCTTTGTCCAGAATTGATAGAGCTTTGGTTAATCCAAGTTTTGAAGACTTGTTCGAACTTGGACCCCTAATCGCCTTGGAAAGGGTGGAGTCTGATCATGACCCGATCATGCTGCAATGGGGTGGTAATGAAAGGGTAAAGCGACCTTGGAAGTTCGAAAATATGTGGCTAGAAGAACCTAGCTTCTTTGAGAAGTTGATCGGTTGGTAGAATGTTCCTGTAAGTGGATCGGGGCTTTTGTTTAAGTGCAGCCAAAGATTAAAAAATACAAAGCAGCTTATAAATGTTTGGAACATAGAATGCTTTGGGAAGATTGATAAGAAGGTGGCAGATCTTTTGACAGAGATTAGGAGGATTGATACTTTGGAGGAGCAAGGCCCCATTTCTGAGCAGCTTCATCTTGAGAGGTGTAAAGTGAAGTGTGAGCTTGATAAGGTGCTGCTGATGGAGGAAATCTCTTGGCGCCAGAAGTCTCGCGCCTTATGGATCAAAGTCGGTGAGAAAAACTCTGGTTATTTTCATCGCAAAGGAAAAAATAACAGAAGGCGAAACTGTGTGAGGAATATTAGAGTTGATGGAAGGATGATCGCGGAGAAAGGGGAACTCCAACAGGCCTTTGTCAATCATTTTCGTGCTAGGTTTTCTGAGCTCGAGAAGGATAGACCTTTCCCGGTTGACTTTAAGGAGGCTTTAATCAATCAAGAGGAAAACCTCAACCTCACTGCCCCCTTCACTGAAGCTGAAGTGTGGAGCGCAATCAGTTCGTGTAACGGGGATAAGGCACCGGGGCCAAATGGTTTTACCCTTGCCTTCTTCTAGAACTCGTGGAACATCATTAAAGCAGATGTCCTGAAAGCCTTTGACGATTTCTACCTCAGCGGTGTTCTACCGCATTCTGTTGCACACTCTTTCGTGTGTTTGATCCCCAAGAAAGAAGCGGTTGAAGAAGTGAAAGATTTCCGGCCGATTAGCCTCATTGGGAGTATGAACAAAATTATCTCAAAGGCTGTCTTGGCTAGATTACAGCTGGTCTCGCATAAGTTTGTCTCGAAGTTTCAGTTTGCCGGAACGAAGAAGAAAGTAATTCACGAGGCTAGTTTGATTGCTAACGAAGTAATTGACAGCAGGAAGCATAGTGGAAAGCCAGGGATCATCTTAAAACTTGATATTGAAAAGGCATTTGACTGAGTTAGTTGGGAGTGTTTGAGGCGAATCTTGAGGAACATGGGTATGAATGTGAAGCTTGAAAAGTGGATTATGGGGCTGGTTTCTTGCTCAAAATTTTCTGTTCTTGTAAATGGTGAAGCGGCAGGTTTTCTTAGCATGGAGCGTGGTCTTAAGCAGGGAGACCCACTCTCTCCTCTTCTATTCAACATCGTCATGGAAGTCTTCTCCTTTGTAATTGAAAAGATGCAGGAAGTGGGTCTCATCACTGGGTTCCATATTGATGAAAGGAACATGAGAGGGCAGGTGTCTCACTTGTTGTATGCTGATGATGCTATTGTTTTCTGCAATGCCTCGGAAGAAGAAGTGTTTAATGTTATGGCTGCCCTCTTATGCTTTCAATCCACCACAGGCCTCAAGATCAACCTTGATAAGAGTAAGCTGTACCCGGTTGGTGAGGTGGATAACATTGAAAGGCTGGCTGGGATCCTTGGATGTGATTGGAGCTATCTTCACACGGTGTATCTTGGGCTGCCCTTAGGTGCTAAGCCTACGTCCACAGCTATCTGGGAACCAATTCTTCTGAAGATGCAGAAGAAGTTAGAAGGGTGGCAGGGTAAATATCTATCTTTAGGCGGTAGAATAACTTTGTGCAATGCAGTCTTGGCAAGCCAACCGCTTTATCAATGCTCGCTTTTTAGTGCGCCAGCTAGCATAATTGAGAAGGTTGAGAGAGTTCAGAAAGAGTTCATCTGGACAGGTGGGAGTCAAGAGAAAAAGATGCATTTGGTGTCTTGGGAAACTTGTAAAAGGCCTAAGAAAGTCGGTGGCTTGGGAATTGTTGATTTGAGGACGCGTAACAAAGCCTTGTTAGCAAAATGGCTGTGGAGATTTGCTTACGAAAGAGATGAATGGTGGAGGGAGCTGATCGGCATTAAGTTCCCTCATAAAGCATTGGAATGGAGCACGTGTGAGATTAGTGGATCGATAGGTTGCAGCCCGTGGTCTCAAATTCAGAAACTCTCGAAGGACTTTTGGAAATTAGCTTGGGTGGAGCCTGGTTGTGGAGCTTGGACTTCCTTCTGGTATGACGTGTGGATAAAAGGTCAACCCTCTATTGCCAAAGTCTTTCCAAGGATCGTCGCTGCTTCTGCTACGCTGTGCTATCGAATTGCTGATGTCTTGCATATTGGGGAGAGAAATCTTTCATGGGACTTACATTTAAATTATAATCTTAGAGGTGGGGCTGAGGGTGAGAGATCTGCTCTTTTAAATTTTCTTCAAACTATCCCTTCCACTTTGTTCTCTGCATGTCCATCAAGAATAACTTGGGATCCGTCCCCGACCACCGGATTTAGAGTGAAGTCCATGTATGACTCGCTGTTTGGTGAACATTACATCAGTGGAATCGTGTTCCCTGCTAACTTTGTTTGGAAGCAGCCTGTCCCGTTCAAAGTCTGTGTGTTTGTTTGGTTAGTGTTCCACAAAAAGATTCTGACTCAAGACATGCTAAAGAAGCGAGGATGGATGCTGCCAAACCGGTGTACCCTTTGCTACGAAGAGGAAGAAAGTGCGGATCATCTTTTCTTGGGTTGCAGGTTTTCGCGTATGGTGTGGCAAGTAATGAGGCGTTTTGTGAAGCTTCCTATTAACCAAGATGGTGATATATCTGTTCTAATCGGTAGGTGGCAGCAAAAGGAGCCTGGTTGTCCTCATGAGTGGTGTTCCAGAGTGTTTTTGCACGCTCTGTGTTGGCGACTATGGCTGGAAAGAAATGGCAGGATTTTTCGAGACAAGGAGGAAATAGTGAATGTGGTCTGCTTTCAACCCCTGTCATATGAGCAGAAGATTTCTTGAGTAGCTGCTAGAAATGCCGGCCCGAGATCACCTTACATTGGCCATCCTTGGTCAGTCTTTGTAACGTCAAGGTACGACCTTTCCATTCAAAGGCTAGCTGCCTTTTCTTCAAATCCACTTGGAAGGGACTAACAGTCTCCAACCAATCCCAACCCAACACGAGATCGTGAGCTGGTAAATCTAAGGTACGAACATTAAAATCAAACTCATGTCCCTGCATTTTCCAGCTAAAGCCTTTACATACCGAGTTACTCAACAGTGTGTGTCCACTAGCAACCTTCACACGCATACGAGCTATGGTCTCGGTTCTACAGTTTAATTCTTCAGCCCTAATGCTATTCAAGAATGTGTGTGAGCTACCTGTATCGATGAGTACCGTGACCTCCCGCTGCCCTGCATTAGCTGGAATGAGCAACAAATTCCCAGTATACCCAGTTCCCATAGCCTGCAATGTAACTTTGATGACTCGATATTTGCACATGTTTTCCCCTTTGTTTCTTGATCATTTAAGCTTGTATAGGTCGCTTCTTTGGCCTATTTTACGCTAGGTTGTGTTCCTTTGTCACATTTTAGGCCCTAGCACATAAAGTGAAGCGTAGGCGCAAGTTTCAAGTCAATCGGAGATCATTTGGCAATTCGGGAGAAGAAACACGAGCATGACCTGAGGAATAATGGATTTCTACCTCATATTATGGACAATTTATCATGGAAGTTTGTTATGAAAAGAAAGAGGAAGAGACTACGAGCGTCTGGGTTCAAACGGCGACTGATTTGGAGTCCGGACGAGGGAGAAACGAAGCTTTGAACAGGAGCGGGGGAAGAATTACGGGCAGGAGAATTACGACCTTATTTTCACCTCCCATGCCCGTATTTTCACTGCCGAGAGGAGCTTTGGGTGCGCTGAAACTTAACCAAAACGCGTGTTTTGGGCAAAATACGGGCATGGAAGAATTACGACCGTAATTCAGCCCGTAATTCGCCCAGAATCGGGTTTTTTAACTCAAATTCGAGCCAAAGGAGAGGGAGAGCTGGGTTTTGGATCCCAAACACCCAAGGGACGAACCCTAGAGAGAGAGAGCGACTTGGGAACATTCTTGGAGCTATTTTGGAGGATTTCTTTGCCATTGGAGCTCGGGAATCAAGCTTGGAGATGGAGATTGAAGATCTAGATCAGATTTCTGCAGTCTCTCTCTTCTCTATGGAGTAACTTCCCTTCACTTAGGTTTTGAGGAACCCAAGTTCCATGAGTTAGGATCTTTCTTGTATGAAGTTTTGGATGCTATATTGTTTGATTATAATCGAATGATGCATGTTTATTGAGTCAATTGAAGTCTGATCAACTTTTCCTGATTTCTGCTGCAACCTGAGATAGATAGAATCTGATTAGGTTGTTAGAGCCTCATCATTCGGTAGTAGGAGATTGGCTATACGAGAGTTAGTCAGTTTACTGCTTTGTACTGGAATCCAATTCCAGTAGTGGAGTTCTGTGCTTATTGCTTCAGCTTTCTATCCGGGTGAAGACTAGTCGTCTGCCGGATAGTTAGACTGAGAGGGCTTGGTCAGCTTAAGAGATTCCAAACTACTGTCGGATCTTCCGCAGTTTAATCAACAGTAAAACAACCAAAAGGAATTATAACTTGGACCTAATTGAGGATCTAAGGGGAATCATACCTAAGTGAGTTCCCAAACTGTAATTAGTAGTATTACTTAGTTTAGTTAGTAGAGTAGTTTAGTTAATCAATCCTTAATCTAGGTTGCTAGATAATGAACTGAAGCTGAGTAATAGTAACTCTAGAGACCCGTGGATTCGATATTTATTACTTGTGCCACTATACTGCAGTCCCTTTCATTGGTTACACTTGGCCATTGTTAGGTGTTGTGTTTTAGAGCATCAAGTTTTTGGCGCCGTTGCCGGGGACTTTCTAGATTATTAGGAAAGGCAGAAGTTTGTTACTTTAGCGTTTTTTTTCTTTTCCACCCTTGCTTTTCACTTGGGTGTTTTTTGTTTTTGTTGGTGCAGATCTGAATCATGGATCCGCATGGCTTCTCCAACCAGTGGGGGTATCCACCACCATCCGAGTGGTATTACCCCGAGACTCCCTGGAGCAATCAAGGAGGAGAAGACTATGGATTCGGGTTCCAGTACCAACCCCCTTTCTACGGAGAACAACCAGACCCCTGGGCATATCAAGAACAACCTCATTACCAAGAAGACTTTCTCCCACAACCAGAAGGGCCGTCGGAGCTGGAGTTACCCATGGTGGCCTTCACGGGCCACTCTGCAGAGCCATGCTACACTTCACTGGAAGATCCGAACAAACAATTAAGGCTTCTCGTGGAGCAGTTTGCTCGAGACACTGAGAGATCATGCTCCAAGATGGATCTTTAAATCAAAGCCCTTGCTGCTTCCGATCCCTCATTTCTCCATGATATGGAGGAGACTGTTCAGCGCTCAGCAAAGCAAACAGAGTGGGTGGAGCTAGTTTGCTCACATCTTGCTCAAGATCACCTTTCTGCTACCACGCTAGAAGAGGTGGAGGATGACAAAGGCTATGGGGATGTTGAGGAGCATACAGAAGTTATCATAGAGAACTCCCATGATAATCATGATCAGGAAAGTCCTCTGGTTGCAGATCACACAATTCCTTATTTCTGCTCTAACATGCCGGGCCCCAGCGAGGAGATGCAAGATGATCTCATTGAAGAAATTACATGGCGACTTGCTCTCCAATCTGTGCTAGAAGAAGAAGAGCAAGAAAGGGTGCAGAAAGAAGTTGTGGAGGATGACGAAAGTGAAGCAGGAGGAGTTGTTGATCAATTCCCAGGGGTGATACCACATGAAGAAGAAAGGGGGGTTGAAGAAGCAATTGGCGTCCAGGCTGAGAATGGAGTTAAGGTGGAAGAAGCCTGCACCGGCCATGAGTTGCAAGTGATATCCCCACCAAACTTTGAGGAACTGCTTAGCAATGACCCATTTGCAGTGTCTCTTTGCCAGACCAAGGCCACATCAACATCGGTCCCTCTTGGTGGACGCGATGGTGGCCAATCGATGCTGTCATATCTGGTTTGGGGCAATGAGACGAGAGAAGAGAAGAAGAGGTCTCGAGGGTGGAGACTTCATCTGCATCAAGTACATGAGCCTTCATCACCTGCCACACCACATGCTCGTGACTTGAGACTCCACCTCATCGACGAGAACCTCAACTTCAAGGAGGTTCTAGCATGGACCGAAACTTAGGAGCCATCGTCCGGCTCACGACGTGAAAGAAGCGCTTGTTGGGAGGCAACCCAACCAGTCGGTTTGCATTTCTTTCTCTATTTCTCCTCGGTTGAGTCAGTTTTTCTATTTGATTTTAGAGCCAATAACTCAACCTTTGTGAGATTTTGTGTGGTGTTTGTGTTCTGATTACTCTCTCTTTCTGGAATGCACCGCCTGACCCGTTCATCATCATTAACCCTTGATCTGGTAACTTCGTTCTACCCTCCTTATCTTTCCTCCATTGAGGACAATGTCGTGCTTAAGTGTGGGGGGATGTTCGATTATGTAAGCGGGTGAATGTTTGGCTGTTTGTGTGCTTGGAGCCTAGTCCACTGTCCAAATTTTTAAATTTGAGGGCTCCAAGTACGTGTTTCCTTGCAAATTGCGTGCTCAGTATGCTTTGAATTGACAGTCTCTATATTAATGTGCAACCTAGGGAGGTAGTGTAGCACTATGGAGGATGTTGAAGTATAAGATTTTTCCTAGCTCTCTGCTGTGCCAGTTGATTTTGTGAATTAGTGGAGCTAAGACCGTTGAATTCATGTGGTAATGGTGACTCTGTTTGGATTGTGTTATGGACTCGTGTATCGAACAGGGTGCTCATATGGAAAATGGGAAGCAGTTGGTCCTCCATGTCGAAATCATTGAAATCTTAAACATGGGGTAAGCCCAACGTGTGTGGCACCGTTCATTGCACAAAATCGGGTTTTGGAAGAGATTTTAGTGATCCTTAGTGGGGTACTCCTACAAGGTGAAGCTAAGCTGTCTCCAGTACAAGTAAAACTTCCACCCGTTGAATGGTTTGCCTGCTCGAGGATGTGTTTTTAAGGGCACGGATAGAGCTTCCGACCCCCCTTTATTTCATTGACCCTCCACACGAGTTGAGGAAAAGGAGTTAAAAGAAGTACTCTGGCGAACGCCAGGTGTACAAAAATTGCTCTTGCTCGACTAATAAGGGTCGACCGTGCAAAAGACTGCAGTTGGAACCCCCTCCAAGTGAATAAAAAGGGGGGAAAAAGTAAGTAAAATGAAAGTAAAAAAGGGGTTCCAACGGTGAAATGAAGTGAAAGAGATCCCCGGTACAACGAGTCCTTGGTTGTGAATGGTGTGAGTCCCTTTATCCATGAACTGACTGTCTTACTTCTACTTCTTCTCATGATCCTGGCTTGAGTCTAGTACTCGCATTGAGAGAGATAGGGAACGTCTTAGAAGACTAGTTGACCTCGTAAGCTGCTATATGATCTAGGAAATCCTCTACCGACGATCGGGGTTGTTTGTTGCTATAGAGGTCTGGAGAGTTGCATTGGTTTGAGTCAGGTTTGCTTGGGGACAAGCAAACAGTTAAGTGTGGGGGGATTTGATGACTCGATATTTGCACATGTTTTCCCCTTTGTTTCTTGATCGTTTAAGCTTGTATTGTCGCTTCTTTGGCCTATTTTACGCTAGGTAGTGTTCCTTTGTCACATTTCAGGCCCTAGCACATAAAGTGAAGCGTAGGCGCAAGTTTCAAGTCAATCGGAGATCATTTGGCAATTCGGGAGAAGAAACACGAGCATGACCTGAGGAATAATGGATTTCTACCTCATATTATGGACAATTTATCATGTAAGTTTGTTATGAAAAGAAAGAGGAAGAGACTACGAGCTTCTGGGTTCAAACGGCGACTGATTTGGAGTCCGGACGAGGGAGAAACGAAGCTTTGAACAGGAGCGGGGGAAGAATTACGGGCAGGAGAATTACGACCGTATTTTCACCTCCCATGCCCGTATTTTCACTGCCGAGAGGAGCTTTGGGTGCGCTGAAACTTAACCAAAACGCGTGTTTTGGGCAAAATACGGGCATGGAAGAATTACGACCGTAATTCAGCCCGTAATTCACCCAGAATCGGGTTTTTTAATCCAAATTCGAGCCAAAGGAGAGGGAGAGCTGGGTTTTGGATCCCAAACACCCAAGGGACGAACCCTAGAGAGAGAGAGCGACTTGGGAACATTCTTGGAGCTATTTTGGAGGATTTCTTCGCCATTGGAGCTCGGGAATCAAGCTTGGAGATGGAGATTGAAGATCTAGATCAGATTTCTGCAGTCTCTCTCTTCTCTATGGAGTAACTTCCCTTCACTTAGGGTTTGAGGAACCCAAGTTCCATGAGTTAGGATCTTTCTTGTATGAAGTTTTGGATGCTATATTGTTTGATTATAATCGAATGATGCATGTTTATTGAGTCAATTGAAGTCTGATCAACTTTTCCTGATTTCTGCTGCAACCTGAGATAGATAGAATCTGATTAGGTTGTTAGAGCCTCATCATTCGGTAGTAGGAGATTGGCTATACGAGAGTTAGTCAGTTTACTGCTTTGTACTGGAATCCAATTCCAGTAGTGGAGTTCTGTGCTTATTGCTTCAGCTTTCTATCCCGGTGAAGACTAGTCGTCTGCCGGATAGTTAGACTGAGAGGGCTTGGTCAGCTTAAGAGATTCCAAGCTACTGTCGGATCTTCCGCAGTTTAATCAACAGTAAAACAACCAAAAGGAATTATAACTTGGACCTAATTGAGGAGCTAGGGGGAATCATACCTAAGTGAGTTCCCAAACTATAATTAGTAGTTTTACTTAGTTTAGTTAGTAGAGTAGTTTAGTTAATCAATCCTTAATCTAGGTTGCTAGATAATGAACTGAAGCTGAGTAATAGTAACTCTAGAGACCCGTGGATTCGATATTTATTACTTGTGCCACTATACTGCAGTCCCTTTCATTGGTTACACTTGGCCATTGTTAGGTGTTGTGTTTTAGAGCATCAAACTTCTAGCTCTGCATCCTGAAACTCGTCATCCTGCTCCTCCTCTTCGCTGTACAGGAGAGAATCCTCAGCTTGCAGCGAATGAATCTTGTCCTTACCAGCACAAACGTGGCCATGAAAGTACTTATCGCCACATTTGTAACAGAGACCTTGCCCCCTTGTAACGGCACCTCGATCCTGAGAAGAAGAGGAAGGAGAGTCTATTGGCCACGGTTTGGTCGACGGCGCCGGCGAAGTACTGGGCCATCAAGGGGAAGGAACTATCTGACAAGACTTGCGTTTCCGAGCGTCAAATGTTGATTCCTCCAAACGTGCTTGGTAGAAGGCACAAGCGAGCGTCGGAGGATTCAACACCTGAGCACGAGACTGAATCTCCCCATCCAATCCGCCCAAGAAACTAAGGATGAAATATTGTTCGTTGAGTTCTGGATTTAGACGAAGCATCCTCAATCGAAGGTCCTCGAATTCCTCCTGGTAACGAGCAACCGTACTCGTCTAGCGTAGCTGATTGAAGGCAGCCACCACATTCAGCTGCTCTTGATTGCCAAACCGGTGGAACAGTTCCTCGACGAACTGCCCCCAAATCAAAGGGAAACGACGGAAAGACCACCACTCAAACCATGTGAAAGCACGACCTTCTAAGTAATACGAAACCAAATCAACCTTCTGCTACTCCGGAATTGAATAGAGATGAAAGAGTTTGTTGCACCGGCTCACCCAAGCATGAGGCTCGGCGCCAGAGAAGTGAGAAAACTCGAGTTTGGGGTAATGACCCAGGAGCGTCGGCCGCCACTATTGAGGTCGAAATTGTTGATTATCGAATAAAGGCTCGTGGTTGGCGGGGTGCTGAGCTCGGATCGGTGATTTCTCCCGAAGATGTGACAACGAAGCCGTGATAGCTTCCAAATTCTCTTTCGTCGAAGAGGCGAGAGCAGCAATGGCGGCTTTGAGGTCGGTGTGCTGAGAATCCATCTGCTGCCGGACGTTCGCCATCTGCAACTCCAACTCAACGATGCGGGATGTGTGCTTCGCCATTTGCCAGATTTCAGAGCTCTGATACCACTTTGTAAGGTCCTGGATGAGGGATATCTGGCGAAGATAGAAGGTAGAAGGCGAAGTTTGGGAGAATAGGGATTGAGCTATGTTATTTCTATCTAAAGAGTAAAGTGTTTACGGAAGAATGATTGTCCAAAAAGATAGCCAATTATGGACGACTCTCCCTATTTATACTTCTATACACTTTACACATCATCTTCAGCTATACAATCCGTTATGCTAGCTGTAAAGGGTTGTTACATCACACCTCGAACATGATGACGAGTACCAGTGGGACGACAACTCCCAATTTGAACTTGAAGAGGGATAGGTCGCAGCTTGAATTTTTGAGCGAGATCTCCACGCGATTGATCTTATTTGTCGGTTTTCATGATCTCCGGCTTCTTCAAAGCTTTGTCGATTGAGGACTCGAGGAAAATGAATTGTTCAAGGATGGGAAGTTCAACTGGGCTAGGCTGTGGAGAAGCGGCGACGGGCCGTAGAGAAGGGAGAAAGAGGGGAAATGGGAAAAGGGTAAGTGTTTGTGGCGACGGCTTGAGCGGGGACTACCGGACGGGTCGATATGAATTTGTATTGATTTAAATTGGGTTGGTTAATTGAGGTTTTATGACATGGAGGGTTTATTATGATGTTGCATATTGGATTTTTTTTGTTTAAATTAACGGAGTAGGCATTTTTTTAGCCATGTCAGCAAAAAAATTGACGCCCTTAACGGAGAGTGACTAAAGTTGAAACGTTTAACTAATGTTAGGGATGAAAAATGGAATTAAATATTTTGAGTGAGCAAATATGAACGTTTTTTTTTAATCTCAGTGACCATCCATGCAATTAACCCATACAAACTAGACTGACAAACATTACAAAATATACTAACAGGACAAAAATGCCACTACTTACAATACAAAACAATAAACTTGTATTACAAATCAATGAATACAAAGTATACAAATCACAACATAAAGTATACAAACTGGCAAACAAACAAACATAACAAATTACAATGTATACAAATAGTCATATAAACTTTACAAACATAATAGATAAAAATGACAAGCTAGAATGATAAACAATACAAACCGAGTTGATAAAAAATCACAAAACATACTTACAAACATCACAAAATCGTCCGACAAACATAACAAAACAGACACTGTCGTCAGAAAATCTTCTCCGCTGCTGCCGAAAAATTTGCCGATGAAGAAAATCATCTCTCTGTCTCTGGGATAGGTTACGGTGATTACTGTAAAATATTAATCATCGTGGTTACTAAGGGCAAATTGGGTATGAAAAAATTATTAATTATCCTTTTTTAACAAATTATATTTTAAAAAGTTACAAAATTATATTAATTACAATTTTCTTTCTCTTTCTCTCACTTCCACAATCTCCAGCCAGATCTCTCTTCCTTCTTTTTCTCAATCTTTTCCTTGTTTTCGTTCAGCCGAACTAATACCGCTGGAACAATAAAACAATACCAATTCATTCAAAAACACTATCAATGCACAAAACACTATAAAAAACACTATAATTTCACAAAATACCAATACCATTGCAGATTTAATCAATATCAATACATGCAAATCAATACCATTACATGATAATCAATACCAATTAAAAAAAAAACAATACCAATGCGAAAAACAATACCACTACAAAAAAAGAACACTACCATTTCACAAAAAGCAATATGCTTACATGATAATCAATACCAATGCGGAAAAAACTATACCAATGCGAAAAAACACTACCACTACTAAAAAATCACTACCAGTGCGGAAAAAACAATATCAATGCGAATAAAACACTATCACTACAAAAAAATCACTACCAATGCGAAAAAATCAGATTTAGGGTTTTTATAATATATAAAAATTATATTAGGAGGAAGAGAACCACCAACAGGAGAGGTGTTGACGGTGATAGAGAATGAGCTTGGAGTAGAGTTTAGGTATATAATATATAAAAATTAATTTTTTAAAGGATAAAAATCAGGTGTGGTATTTTTTTATTCTCAAAATTATCCTTAATCTAATCTTCACCGTCAAATTAAAATTAGGATGAAACAGAGATAATGAAGGATGTAGATTTTAGTAGCCACCATGATTACTTAATCTAATCTCTCTCTCTCGTTGCACTTGGGGAAAATTCCCCAGAAAAATAAAAGTGCCCGGCGGGATTATTCCGAACTCTACTCCTTCCCCTTCCCTACTTTGATGCCTGATCACTGAGCGGTTTATTTGCAATGGGCAAGCTAATGTTCTCTTTTACAACTTCTCTATCATAATCGATGCGAAAGGCCGTGCGGCGGAGATCAATCACGTCAAGATTTCCCATCCCGACGTCGTCATCGATGGGTCCCTCGTGATTCACGGCGTCCTCGAGCCATTCTCGTCACTGGATTCCGTCAAGCACGCCGGGAGGGACGGAACCGATTCCGTCGGTTTTAGGGATTTGGGCTACTGGCCCAAAATCATCCGATCGCTGAGCTCTAAGGGATTCGTCTCACAGTCGGATTGAACTCTGTTCTTGACGGCATTCTTGACCATTACCGGCACTTGGATTCCGTCACCGTTTTCAGTCCACCGGATTTCGGGTCCGTCGCATCTTCTTCTCCGATGCTCATCAGGATAATCCGAATTCACATTCTGCCTCGAAGGATTTAGTACAAGAAGCTCGTCGCATTGCCGGATAAATCGCCGTTGAAGACTCTCCTACCGGGTCAGGATCTCGAGTTAATAAAGACTGGTATATTCACTAAATTGAATGTCACGGCGGCGAGACTGCGAGTCAACGGAGTTGACATTGTGGCGCCGGAGATATTCTCGTCTGGTAAGTACGTAGTTCATGGGTTTTCCGGCGAATTGGTTTCTCCGGCAAGTCCTGTAGTTACGTCTCCTTCGTGTGGAAGTAAAAATGTAATTATTGCTCTTTCATGTCCGTTTAGGACCGGAGTGTTACGGACAGAGGCATGGTTAAGGCACTCATTATTTGGTTCATATGAGTCCTTAACTGCTCTACTTACTATGAGCAATTCAAGGAAAAGTCCGTATTTAATAAGTTTCTTAATGCAATTTGCATTTATGTTTTAATAGTAAATGTCATCTTTAATGTGATTATTATTTTTGTTCTAACATATATTTTAGTTCTAAGTGGGCGGAAGCTTAGCAAGTTAACAGTGGCTCTTAACCACCATTGAACGGCCTGGATTTGGCTGAAAACGACACTATTACCGGAAACCTCCCGCGAATGGGAGAGTAAGATGCGTTTAATTCTTTTGATTAACATAAGCGACCCTCCTCTTGAATCCGACCATGGCCGGAAACAGTCTACGGTGTGGTGCCACAAACGGGGAACTCGCCGGAAAACCTCCACCGTCGGAGAGTATTGGCAATTAATTGCCGAAACAATTGCAAGCCGTTGGCGAGTAATTGCGAATTTTCAGTCCTAAATTTATTTTGCATTAAATTTTTTCTATATGTGTAGGTAACAATTAATTGGCCTATTTATTGTTTAGTCTCATTCTTATTGCCAAGAATTCATGTCATTAATGGTATTAATCACATGTTCTACGATTTCAAACGATGAATTCTTCCTTAGTGCATCAACTATGGTTTCTTATTTCTTTAGAAATAGTCAAATAAGGTTATCACCTGGCTCATGAATAAGCTTTGGCCTCAAATCGAAAAAGGATAGTCGAGAAAGTATTGAACATTTATTCTTCAGATGCCCCCTAGCCACCAGATTGTGGACTTTAGTGGGATTGAGCAACTTTATTGAGACCGCCCAGAATGTTAACTTTAGTCTATGGTGGCGACATGTCATGGTCTCTGAGACCTCCCCATTCCACATTCTCCAATGTGTCTGCTTACATTGGAGAATCTGGAAGTCTAGAAATAAAGTGATTTTTGAATTATACCAACCTCATGTCCGTTCCCTAGCCAGACATTTCTACAACCAGGTCCTTGATATCTCAAACGCTCTCCTCCCTCCCCAACCCCACAACTCTCTTCCCAAACCATCCAACCACCACATGGGTCCAGCCGCCAGATGATTACTTGAAGATCAATTTCGACGCTGTTGTTTGTGCCACCAGGTGTTCGTCTGGGCTTGTTGTTCTTGGGTCAGACGGACATGTGGTGTTGGCGTTCGGGTTACATCATCAAGGAATAGTCAACCCTTCCCTAGCAGAGCTCCATTCCATTAGAGATGCTTTTTTCATCATCAACTGAAGATCTTTGACTCACGTGATAGTCGAAGGTGATTTCAAAGTGGTCGTCAAGCAGATCCGGCAAGGCTTCATAGAAGACTCGATTGGTGGTCCGGTGCTACGAGAGTGTCATCAAATCCTTAGCTCCTTGTCCATTGGTATAGTGTTTAGGGCGGTACCTAGAACTGCCAACAGTGCTGCCCATAGAGTGGCGCGTAAAGCACTGCTTTTGTCTCATCTAGAGCTAGAATCTTTCGATTTTTTGGGGTGGCTTCATTATAATATATTGTAAGGGGTACTGGGTAGATTTGTATGAATAACTCCAGACCTCTATTGATATCACTCAGAAATATAAAAAAAGGAACAAAATAACTTGCACGGATTATTCCCAGCACCGGCGAGAGGGAATTAACGCCGCCTAACTTTTTTTAATTATTTAATAATTGAAAATTAATAGGCATACAATTACTACATTATCCTTCATTAATTTGGATTAATTAGAGTCATTGGATTTAATGAGGTGGAAGGGCTGAGATTCACTTAGTCATGTGACTAAGGACCCCCCTTAGTCACCTGATCTTAGCCCTCACGGTCATAGGTTGGAGAGAGAGAGAGGGAGAGGAAGAGAGGAATTCGGAGAGAAGACGAGGAGGGAAAGTAGGAAATTTTTTTGGTTTCTGTCGATATTGACGAGTATTTAATAGAGAGGAGGAGATGGAGACTAGGGATGTTAGTCGGTGCGGTTTCGGTTTAACCGAACCGCACCATCGGTTAGCCGAGACCGAGAATCACTCAGCATTTCCAGCCGAAGCCGACACCGAAGGGGTCTTTGGTTAACCACCAACCGCCACCGTCGAGTTTGGTTTTTGGTTGCGGTTTGCTGAGACCGACCCAAACCAACTCCGACCACCGCCATCACTATGCATGGCACCAAAAAATCCCAATTTTGAAGCAGCGGCAGAGGAAGAAGAGAGAGGCATCGGTGGCGGATGACGGGCGATGACGAGCATACTTGGGTGTCGAATCCGTATCTGAGTTTGTCGCAAATCAAGGTAGATGGAGGGAGAGAGCGTCGAGAGGAGGGGAGACAGTCGAGGGAGGAAGGGCAGTGCAGTGGCAGGGCAACGACGATTGGAGAAGGCAGGGTGGGTCGGGATCTCGTCGTCAACTGCCGAGGATGAGGAAGGCAAGCCGGAGACTATCGAGGAACATGCAAGGGGAAGCGGAGACGACAACGATGTGGATGGATCTGCTTACGCTAACTCCTTCCGCTGCAACGAGCCGGCGACCTCTTTCGACAAGGAAGGAGTGGGAGAAGTCAGGTGGGGGCGATTGAGGCGGAGAGGTTGACGGCGAGTGGCGATTGAGGATGGTGGTGGCTGGCGAGGAGCCATCGGTAGAGCGCGGAGATTAGGAAAGAGTAGAGAGCAGCAATTGGGAAAGGGTAGAGAGGTCAATGGCGAGTGGCAATAGAGGATGGTAATGGATGGCGATTGGGATTCCCAATTTGGGAAAGGGTAGAGAGCGGTGAGAGCTGAGAGGAGAGGGAGAGATTAATGATTGACGAGGGGAGGGATAGGGACTGGAAATTGGCGGTTATAGGCGGTGCACCAAGTGGTTCTCGGTTAGAAACTGTAGGTTGCCGGTTATGAAATTTGTCTTCAAAAGCCAATCGACGCCGACACCGAAAGTTCCAATCGATTTTCGGTTTCGATGAAAAATTGACGGTTCGGCTCAGTTTTTTGGTTAAACAGGATAACCGGGAACCAATTATCAGGCTTAATGGAGACTCAGAGGTAGATGAGAAAATAGAACTGTTGGGTCTGGATCAGGTCAGTAACCTTAGGGTCAGTAACTGCGAGTAACGTGTCAACATCAGCGCGACATCAACATCTTCTCTTATATCAACTTTGATATATTTTTAGAACAAAAAAAAATTGAGGCATTTTTTACGAGTCTATAACATATTGTATTGACTGGTATTAAACAAAAGCATACCATATGGTATGGAAGCGTACCATGGTGGTATGAACATACCAAGAATGTAGGATGGTTGAATACATGATATTAGGAGTATACTAAATGTCATTTACGGCTTTCATCATTGTGTAACACAAGTTACCACCCTCCTTACTAGGATGGTATAGTATGGTATTTTTTGGTTTGTATTTTTTTCACCCAAAAATTTGTTAATCCAATAGATCATGATGAACTCGTTCCTTCTGTACAAATAGTTTCAAAAACGACTTAAAAACGAAGGAGATACCATATGATATGAAGTTGGTAACGACGGAGAGGTATGAAAAAAACATTCTCAAACAATATTGAAAATTGATATCATATTGTAAAGCACAACGAACTCGTTCCATCTGTGGGAAAAATAAATCCGAGTTGGAACAAGAATATAATAGCCAATTGAAAAAAGGATTTTTTATTATTAGGGATTTGGGAGGTTGGAAGGAAACGCGATAGTCGAAAAGAGGAAGAAGAGAATGACAGAACTAGAAAGCGCTTCTGCTCTTCTTCTTCTTACTCGAGTATGGGCCAAGATTAAAACGCAAAGCCCAAAAAATGGAGAACTGAAATAAGCGTCAAAATGGGCTTGCAGGCAGACTAAGCCTGAAATAACAGAAGCTATTCTTCTTTCTGGAATGCAGAGGAAGAAGAACAGAGTCAAGAAGCAGAGGTAACGAAATCAAAGCAAGAAGAAAAGAACGCAGCGATTTAACGAGGTTCACCAATAATGGCTACGTCCTCGTCTCGGTAATAGTACACACTAATACCGAGAGACAATATATTTATCTGTTTTAATGACACAATTACAAGAAAAGAAGACTCAATGAAACCACCAAAGTTTAACCCAAACTCTGTATACTTCAGCCACTCTCACAGAACCTATACCCCTGGAGATGATCACTCTTTTGTTCTGATGAACTAGCCCTCTACCACCAATCTCAGAAACTCAAAAGACTACTTGAATGGACCGCAAACCAGCGTTTATATAATCCTCCTCTAGCAGACCGTTGGAGAAGAGGGTCGTTGGTGATTAGCTTTGATGAAGCAAGGAATTACCAAAAATTGCAAGCTTTCCTTGTATGATTAGCTCTGATCTCGTCCAACAATCTCCCCCTAGATCAGAGATTGCAAATGATATAAATCCTGCAAAAAGAGGTAAAACACAAAAGCACAGCAAACCACAAGAGCAACACAAAGAAAACGAACTAGCATCTCGCAAACTTGATCCAGCAATTCAAAGCATCCAACAAACCAGATCCAGCAAAACAATAAAGCATCCAACAAACCAGATCAAGCAAGTCAAAAGAGCTAACAGTAAACATATGGAGACAAGAGCTCCCCCAAGAAGAAAGTTAATCTCAAACAGTTCGCCCCCTAAACAGTTCTCCCCCTAAACTGACTCATCATCCGAGCTGTAGTCTACCAAACCTCCAGACAGCCCACCAGGTGCTACAGCAGCAGCAGCAGCAACGTAAAAACCCTCTTCAACAAAGGCTAGTGCTGCAGCGAACTGATCGAGAGAGTCACCATCAAGATCATCCATATCTTCAATGACATTCTCCACATCTTCTCCTGCCACAGGATATTCTTCAGGATTCTCTTCAGGAATCGCTTCAGGCACAACATCTATGTCGTTGATCATGTCAGCATCCTCCTCTTCAGGTTCATCAGCAGCCATCTCCCCCTCGTTTGCAAGCTCCAACTGGTCAAGAACTTGATCGATGGATAGGAATCGAGCACTAAGTTCAGTGCGGAAGGAGGAGGTAGGAATGCCAAGTCGAATAACAAGTTGGGTGATTGAAGGACCAAAGGGAAGGGGACCAGGATAACTAGTATCTCCATATGTCATAAAGACACCGAAGAGAAGATAAGAGAAATCCAGAGGAACGTTGGAAATAGCATGAACCATAATCCACAGATCAAGAGGAAGAATGACGTCGAGAGATTGAGTGCGAGGGATCAGAATCCTGGAGATAACAAAATGAAAGGCTCGCAGACTAGGTAAAACCGAAGAGACAGGAAGAAAGGTTGCAGGACCAGGGTGAATACCAGTCAACTGAATGAATTCGGCAGCAATATTGAAGTTAAAGCGCCACAGTTCTGACTCATGAGTGAGAGATTCACCAATGGGAGGAATATTCAGAAGCCGAGCCAAATCAGAGACAGGAATAGTCACCTGATGACCATAGACCACAGTGGAAAAACTACGACTATGAAGACCAAAAGATCGAAGATTTGAATAAAAGAACCGCACTAGCTCTGGACAAATAAGGGCTAGAGGGTCCTCCAGGAGGAAATCCCATCCCAGATTGTGGATGAATCCCCGAACATCAAGGCCATAATCCAATAAGTCAGGAATATGGACATGAATCGGGGTGGCTATGGGTCGGTCCTCATAAAAAAGGGTATGACGATGACGACTCAGCGAAACTGGATCTGAGAACAGGGAGCCAGTATAGGTATGGGCGAAGACTCGATTCATGATTTTAGGGAGACACAGAGACAAAGTTGCTATGAGGGGCTAGGGTAGAATGACATAGCACACAAATTCAAGAGGTATAAATAGGCAAGGAATAGGAGTCGACACACAGGCACTCAGAGAATAAGAAAATAAAAATCACGAAGGAAAGGTGCAGAAAGTAAACAGAGCAAGAAAGATAACATAAACAAGGAAAGCAAATAAATCAAAGAAAGGCAAGACTCAGTCTGCAAGAAAATCTCTAAGATTTTCTGGAGATCTAAGTCCAATATCATAACACAGAACCACAAACCGGTCAGTTGACAGAGGCTTAGTAAACAAATCAGCTAGCTGATACTCTGTAGGAATGTAATTGAGCGAAATAACCTGATTGTCCACCAATTCTTGGATGAAATGGTATTTGATCTCAATGTTTTTTGTCCGTGAATGCTGCACTGGGTTTTTAGTCATACATATGGTGCTGGTATTATCACAAAATAAAGGAATAGCAGGAATATGCAGACCGTAATCCCCTAACTGATATTTTAACCAGAGGAGTTGTGTACAACATCCTCCGGCAACTATATATTCAGCCTCAGCGGTCGACAAGGCAACTGCTCCGTGTTTTTTGCATGACCAAGAGATTAGGGAAGTGCCAACAAACTGACAAGCACCACTTGTGCTTTTTCGATCAGTGAGACTTCCAGCGAAGTCAGAATCACTATAACCGATGAGGTCAAAATCAGTTTGTTTGGGATACCAAAGACCGACATCCTTAGTTCCTTTTAAGTAACGGAAAATACGTTTAACAGCAGTTAAATGACTAATCTTAGGATTTGCCTGAAACCTAGCACATAAGCAGACACTGTATTGAATGTCTGGGCGACTAGCCGTTAGATAAAGTAACGAACCAATCATTCCACGATATAACTTCTCATCTACAGGGGCACCCTTGTCATCTTTGTCTAACTTTAAGTTCACAGCCATGGGGGTTGGGCTGGAATTAATGTTAAATAGATCAAACTTGTGCAACATAGTATTAATGTATTTGAATTGACTAATAAAAGTACCATGAGGAGTTTGTTTAAACTGTAGCCCAAGAAAGAATTGAAGCTCACCCATCATGCTCATTTCAAAGATAGATTTCATTGCTTCACAGAACTCAGAACACATAGTAGAATCAGTTGACCCGAAAACTATATCATCTACATAAATTTGAACAATAAGCATATGAGAGCCAGAGGTTTTTGTAAATAAAGTTTTATCGACTGACCCTTGAGAAAACTGTTGATCTTTAAGAAATTTGGTCAATCGATCAAACCAAGCTCTAGGAGCTTGTTTGAGACCGTACAAGGCTTTGTTTAGCTTGTAAACATTGTCTGGATGTTCAGAGTCAGTAAAGCCTGGGGGCTGAGATACATAGACCTCTTCTTGAATGTCTCCATTCAAGAAGGCGCTCTTGACATCCATTTAGTATAGAGGAAAATTCTTAAAACAAGCAAAAGCACATAGCAATCTTATTGATTCTAGACGTGCTACAGGGGCAAAAGTCTCGTCGTAATCTATTCCTTCCTCTTGTCAATATCCTTGTGCAACAAGGCGTGCCTTGTTGCGTATAATATTGCCTTCCTCATCAGATTTATTACGAAAGACCCACTTAGTTCCGATTATAGTTTTGCCTAAAGGTCTAGGAACCAACTTCCAGACCTTAAGATATTCAAACTGAGAAAGTTCCTCTAACATAGCATAAGCCCATTCTTCATCATGTAGAGCTTCTTTATAGGACTTAGGTTCTAGTTTAGATACATAAGCATACTGGCCTGGAGTGTACTTACCTCGGGTACGAAGACCATCTTTAATACTCCCAATGACTTGACTCTCAGGGTGTCTCTTTTGAATATGGGGAGGAGCTTGTAGTCTTTCAGTGTCACTGGAATGATGTGCTATAGTTTCTGCTTCTGTTGTTGCTTCGGCCTCGGCAGATTGAGTTGCTTGAAAGTCTTTAGGAGACTGCTGTTGTAAAGTTGATTCACTTGCATCTGTTGTTTCTGCTGAATTTTTTTCTTGCCAACGAGTCAGCTCCAATAGATCAAGAAGCTGTGAATCTGTCTCATATATCTTATCAGAAGTGTTAGCATTGTCAAATAACAAATGAATAGATTCTTCCACTTTACGAGTGCGTTTGTTATAGATTCTGTAAGCTTGCCCTTTCAAAGAGTACCCTAAGAAGATTGACTCGTCTGACTTAGCATCAAACTTGCCAAGGGTATCCTTAGTATTCAGAGTGAAGCATCGACAACCAAAAGGGTGAAAATAGGAGATATTTGGTGTCTTTTTCTTTAAAATTTCATAGGGAGTCTTGTTCAGATGCTTTCTCACAAGAACTCTATTGATAACATAGCAGGCTGTACTAACTGCCTTTGCCTAAAAGAACTTTGGAAGATCATAGTCAATCAACATGGTTCTTGCAGTTTCAATAATAGTACGATTTTTCCTCTCAACTACCCCATTCTGTTGGGGAGTTCTAGGAGCAGAAAAAGTATGAATAATGCCACAAGATTCACAAAACTCAGAAAACTCATCTGAAATAAATTCTCCTCCATTATCACTCTTAATACTTTTAATTTCTGAATATATTTTGACAAAGGACTGAAAATTTCTGAAAGTTTCATCTTTACTCGCAAGAAAATAGACCCAGCAGAATCTGGAATAATCATCGACAAGAACAAACACGTAGTTTTTGCCTCCAAGACTAGTGATAGAGCAAGGACCAAATAGATCCATATGAATTAGTTCAAATGGTTTGGTCGTGGCAATATCAGGTTTTACTTTAAAAGGTCTTCTGGAGAGCTTACCAGCAGCACAGGCACCACAAAAAAAATTTCCTCGTTCCTTTAAGTCAGGAATTCCTCGGACCAGCTTAGATTTCAACAAGGCAGCAAGCCTTTTTAAGCTAATGTGGCCCAATTTTCTGTGCCAAGTAGCTTCCTGGTAATCTGATTTAGAGACAAGACATGATTCATTGAAGGCTTTTAGGTCATGAAGATCTATTACATACATATTTCCAATTCGATTACCAACAAACATAATTTTATTGTCACGGACACATTCAACTAAACAGTGAGAGGTTTCAAAAGTAACCTTGTTCCCACTACTACACAACTGACTTATAGAAAGCAGATTGTGCTTAAGACCATCTATTAGAATGACATCTTTGACAGTTGGCATAGGGGACAGACCAATAACTCCTTGTCCCACTACTCTGCCAGAGCTGTTATCACCAAAAACCACTTCTCCTCCTAATTCATAGTTTAAAGTTGAGAAAAGGACTTCGTTACCTGTCATGTGATGCGAACATCCGCTGTCAAGATACCATTTGCTTTCAGCCTTGCTGAATTCATCGATAAGATCTTTGTGCGTATCGGTATCTGTTGTTCTTGCCATGTATGCCTCGTCAATGTTCCGTTCATTGTCATCCTCTGACTCATAATCGCTCCATGAGGCTGCCATAGCTTGTTCTTTAGCCTTCAGTGTCAAAGAGCAATTAGCCCTTACATGCCCTATCCTCCCGCATTTATAGCAGCCTTGAGCTTCTCGGTCGGTTGTACCAGTTTGTTCTTTCCCCTGCGAAGCAAATCTCTCAAAGGAAGCATTTTTAGTTCTACCAGGAATTGAATAATTTCTTCCACTATCAAAGTTTCTTTGAAAAGACTCATTTTGTCTTTGATTTAGATCAGAAAAGCGATTATTCGAATCTGAATAACGACTAGTTGACCCAGGAAAACGAGCATTAGAAAAACGATTGTGAGACTCATAACGACCTCTATGCTCAATATCGCGTTGCTTCTGATCATTTTTTAACTTCATCATGCGATGAAATTTCTTACTAACCAGAGCCAATTCTCGTTCAAAGTCAGAATCGACTTCATTATATGATTCATAATCATACATACGAATTTTGAACGCAAAACTTTTCTTACGCCTTTCATCTTCCTTTCCTACTTTCCTAATAACATGCTCATGACTGAGAAGTGAACCAATTAGCTCATCAACAGTCAATGTGTTAAGATTCCTAGCTTCTTCAATGGCTGTCCGTTTAGGCAGCCATTCTTTCGGTAAGGATCGAAGAAGCTTCCTAACCATGTCTTTTGATGCAATAACTCTACCCAACCCTTTCAATTTGTTTATCAGACTGGTAAATCTAGAGTACATATCATGAATCCCCTCACTAGGCAGCATATCAAAGGTCTCATATTCATGCATAAGTAAGTCTATACGAGTTTCCTTGATATTAGACGTACCTTCAAACATAGCCTCAAGAATGGACCAGATTTCATTCGCGGTTTCGTATTGCTCCACCTTGTCAATCTCATCGGGTGAAATGGCTGTTTGCAGAATGTGCATAGCTCGGCAATTCAGCTGTGCACTCTTTTTCTGCGCATCGTTCCAATCGTCTTGACGATTGACATCCATTTCAATTGGTCCATCTTGAACGACAGTCCTGAGATCTGCATCAATTCCCCATAAGAAGGTTTTCATCCATTTTTCCAGGCATTATAGTTCGAACCTGTAAACCACGGAGGATTATGATGCGATGCAGGGCCGAATGCATCTTGGGAAGAGGAACCCATGAATCGCAACCTTTGGCAGTAGCTAGCTCTTCAAAGGAAGGCTCTGATACCACTTGAAGATCGATTTGAGAATAGGGTTTTGAAAAAAGGATTTTTTTTATAGGGATTTGGGAGGTTGGAAGGAAACGCGATAGTCGAAAAGAGGAAGAAGAGAATGACAAAACTAGAAAGCGCTTCTGCTCTTCTTCTTCTTACTCGAGTATGGGCCAAGATTAAAACGCAAAGCCCAAAAAATGGAGAACTGAAATAAGCGTCGAAATGGGCTTGCAGGCAGACTAAGCCTGAAATAACAGAAGCTATTCTTCTTTCTGGAATGCAGAGGAAGAAGAACAGAGTCAAGCAGCAGAGGTAACGAAATCAAAGCAAGAAGAAAAGAACGCAGCGATTTAACGAGGTTCACCAATAATGGCTACGTCCTCGTCTCGATAATAGTACACACTACTACCGAGAGACACTATATTTATCTGTTTTAATGACACAATTACAAGACAAGAAGACTCAATGAAACCACCAGAGTTTAACCCAAACTCTGTATACTTCAGCCACTCTCACAGAACCTATACCCCTGGAGATGATCACTCTTTTGTTCTGATGAACTAGCCCTGTACCACCAATCTCAGAAACTCAAAAGACTACTTGAATGGACCGCAAACCAGTGTTTATATAATCCTCCTCTAGCAGACCGTTGGAGAAGAGGGCCGTTGGTGATTAGCTTTGATGAAGCAAGGAATTACCAAAAATTGCAGGCTTTCCTTGTATGATTAGCTCTGATCTCGTCCAACAATAGCTAACCCTAGCTCCGTCCTCGTCACGTATTATGCAACTAACTATCGCGCCTGAGGTAGCCATGATCAACGAGAAGGAAGAGGACCCCGTCGAGTTTGTGCTTCCCTGTCCAAGCGAGCTACCTAAGCTCGAGGAAGAATCACCACCCGTCATTGATCCGTCTACCTTTATGGACCGGATCGCCGCGGTACAACCACCATCATCACCATTCATCCTTTGCGCCGCTGTACAAGAGGAGGTAGCGACATCCTTGGCCGCTCAACCATCAACCGGGGAGTTAGCCCTAGCCCCAACGATCTCTACCTCATTGGAACCTGTCGCCGGTGAGGAGTTATCCCTAGCTTCAATGCCATCGTTAGCAGCAACGACCACCATCAATTCTGTCGCTGCAGCTGTTGTGCGAACTGCCGCTGCACCAGCCATCATCCCGGTCATTGTTTATAACGAAGGACGCTTGGGAAAGACTGCTGCCAAGTTTGGTCACAAGCTAAGCGAGCATCTGTATCAAAGAAGGATGATGAGACGCCGCGTTATGAACTGGAGTTATCGGAAGAAGCAGCCATGACTACGGAGTGACAAGAGGATTGCCGCAGGAGGAGTTGGTAAGCACCCTCGTGTTAATGCCATGAATTTCGTCGCCGCGGGTTCTGTAAGAATTCTTGTTCCTTATTTCTCATGGAAGTTCATGAAAAAAGCATCTAGAATTGCAAAGGGTTTCTAGGACAGCAACCCCTAAGAGAGCCCAAGCAGCCCATCAATTGTGCAGGTGAGAATGGGGTGCTTCGAGATGACGTTAACCTTGGGTGGGTTCTGGGAATCGAATACACACATTTTGGGAGAGATGAATGTGTTCGTGCGGCAGCCTTGACGGGAAGATTAGCATCGAATTCACCCTTGCGATAGTCGTTAAAACCATGGCAGCTTCTAGTGGGCAATCAACGTATTTCTTGTATGATTGGAAGAAGAATAAGAAGAAGTCATTGGACCGTGGCATGGATTATCGGGAATAGGCAGTGGAGAGACATGAGACGGGATGTTGTGGAGTCATATCTCGCATAGCAACTGTTGTGTTCGAGTTTGGTAGGAGGCTTGTTGCTGAGCTGGTCGTTGAGGAATTTAAATATGACTCCTGCAATGAGGGAGTCAAACATCTGATGCATGGTTGGTCAGGGAAAGGATGCATGATTATTAATCTTGAGAATAAGGGTGTGTTTCACGTAAGGAGGTTCCACCGATGTTTAAATGAAATTCATGAGGCCATGCAATCCATGAGTATGGTTCCACCGATGTTTAAAGGAGAAATCTTTGGTTGATCGATTGCCTGTGAAATTTCTATTCGAACTCCATCCATTGAAGTGTGACAAGGAAGCTTACGGTGATGGAAGAATGAATGCAATGCTCTGTTTGGGGAATGGAAATTTTTGGAATTATTATTCCATGAATTGTAGGCTAAATCTAGAAGGGGAGGATGGTGTATATTATTGCTCAATGCATGGACCGCAACCGTGGGCCGACAAGTTGGGAAGTAGAAGCAAAGTGGGAGTCATTGGTTCGGCCGCGTTGGACGAGGAGTTGACTTTCATTGGAGCTGGTAATGATGGAGGAATCGATTGGGTGCACAAGCTGAATTAGAAGTATCGAAAGCCCGGACCTTGTGGACAAGGTTCTTTTAAGGGGGAGGGATGTTACGAGATCGGGCCATCGTAGCATTTCGTAGGAGACTGGGCTTGCGTATCTTTAGTGTTTTATTATTAGTACACTATTGGGCTTTTATTATTATTGTCTTTATTATCTTTTTCCTTGTTCGTGTAGGATTTGGTTATTGGTTAGTACTATCCTTAGAGGTATATGAGTCATAATCTAGATAGGTAAAGGTAGAGGTTTTGTGCCTATAAATATGTATTGGTATAGTTCGTTTAATGATAAGAAGATTGGAACCCAATAGTTAGCTTTTGTTCTTTATTTGCTATTTCCTTAGTTATTTCCTTTGAGAGTTCTTTGCATTTTATTCCTTTTACGGAAAAAAACCTAAAATCGCCATCCCCTACGTCAGTAACATTGATGCGAAGTTGTAATTTTGTTATCATCGTATATTGATAGAACAAAAACCTCGCTTATTCGTCAAATAAATAAATCACACAAGAAGTCTCGGGGAGAATACAAACATCCATCACTGTTTTTTTGCTAGCTAGATATCCTTGCTGGGCAACCCAACCATTATTTTAAGTCGGAAAAGTATCTCCCTGTGGACGGCAGCATCACCGCTCGGCCGACCCACAGCTGAATGCTGATATGTTGTCTATTATATAAATCCGCACCGGCCTCTCGTTTATTAGCAAGGATAATTAATTAAGTGGCTTTAATTTGGTCTGTCGATCTGAGGATGTATTCCAACAACAAGAAAGCAGCAGCGCCGCCGCTGCTGATCATCGGCGTTTCTCTCCTTCTGCTCGTGTTGGCGACGGCTGCACTGCCGTTCCCTCGCTCTGATCATCATCGTCAGTAGCATCGAAATTTGACTGCTTTTATGTCCTTGATATATATATGTAAATTATTGCATGACGAAAAACGATGAATTGGATTTGCAGAGCCACCAGGAGGCGGCGGCGGCGCTGCCACAGTTGAAGCGTTTTACTGCCCAAGGAATACTGGATCATGCAGCACCGCCGCCAATCCGGATAGGTATTGTTGTACGTGTAAGAAAGGGAAATATTTAACTTATTGCGTCTCTTGCTGCGGCTGATGCATGCGGCTTGCCACTAATACGCGCCATCCATTGCTCTCGTAAGTGTGGGGAATTATCCATCTCTTCTCTTCTCTTCTAACCTTTCTCCAACTAATTTATACCATTTATCTTGGGATCTCTCCCCCTCATGATGAAAATATAAGCTCAAAGTGTAGAGAAATAATGTCATTAAATAACCCGAACTCATTGGTGTCTAACTAGATGATTAACTGGATCTACAGGAAGATAATCCTCCTTAACTAGTCAGGAAATAAGAAAGAGAACTCTCTTCGAACTCTCTTAGCATTGGCGAGAATTATTAAATTGACTAGCACATATACATCTGATTTTTCATTGTTAAAGGAAGACTAGCTAGAAAAAGTAAGTACTGAATGAGACTTTGATTTAGTGCACAAATGACTTATGGTGCAGCGGATTACATTAATTATTTTCTTGTTTAGAAGGTCAATGCTTCAAAACATATGAATTATTTTTTTTCGCAAAACCAAAACTACTATCCAGAGATCAGTAAATATGATTTTCCAACTTTAAGAGTACTGTCCCAAACATCCCTATACAGTCTCCTGGTTTGCCCGTGGTTATAGAGTTACTGGCCTATTAGTTTAGTTATGATTTTTCTTTAAATATTAGCGATTATAGAACATTTAAGACACATGTATATATTGCTATTTATATTCTTTTTTACATGTTCAAGCGTTAAAATAACTCATGACGATCTTTTGTTCTTACTTTCTGACAAATATATGCAGGACGCCAACTGCCAAGTACACTTGGAAGAACAAGACCACCTTAATGAATAATGAAACATTAATGTTTTCATTTACAAATCCTATGTAATACTTTATAGAATAACAAGACGTACGTTCTCGATCTAGAAATACTTTATAATAATTTTCATTTCTTGTTTTTCTTTTGGCCTCTTCTTATAAACCAAATAAGGCAGCATGTTTTCCATTCCAATCGCAGAACTATAACCTGACGATTCCTTTTACAGTTGCTAAAATCTGGAAAGCAGTTTGTGAGTGTGACAAAGCCAGAGCCCCGGGACCTGATTATCGCTGTCATTTTATAGAAAATGATGGAATGTAATCAAGAAGGATATAATAAAAGCCTTCAACCATTTTCACTTCTGGGAACCCCTTCCAAGTTGCGTGCATACTATATCCTTATCCTGTGTCTCATCCCGAAGAAAGATGTAGTTAAAGAAATAAAGGATTTCAGACCGATTAACTTCACAGACAATACTTTGAATAAGATCATCCCCAAAGCTCTTGTCGCAAGAATCGGACCATCCACAGTGAGAAAGTTTTAACCTAGCAGCAGCTAGGGTTTCAAGAGAGTAAGAGCGAGAGAGGATTTTGAGGGAAATGGCAGCCATTTTCACTGCTTAGTATTTATACAGACCAGAGTCATTACATGGACGTTAACACTGTTCTAACGGCCAATTATAACTAACAAATGAAACTAACCAATCCTGTGCCGCCAAGTGGCAAAGTACAGGCTTTTTTTTTTTTTTGAAAATTCAATAGTTGTAAAGACAGTCACACATAGGAAGTGAGAAAAGCGCGGGAGTCGAACAATAGTCGAGCTCCCGATGAGAGGGTCTTGTGTGCCACATGATGGGCATCCCTATTGAGTTGACGAGAAACAAAATAGTAAGAAATCTTGCTAAAGGAAGAAGCCAAGCTCCGAGTGTACGAACTAGTTACCAAAGAAGGTAAATGAGCATACTTAAGCGACAACATTTCTTCCTTATTTTTGTCACATTTGTATGTAGAGTTGGGTCGGATGGGGCTCCCGTAACCAGTCATTTTCGTCCCTTCCAGTGGCAGAGCTGCAGCTTCTCTGTCTTCATCATTCAGCTCTGCAACTTTACTTCACACACAGTGCCTCTATATCTCAACATTAATTCAATGGAATCAAAGACAGGATAAGACATGACGCATGTCTAGCTAATTGCTAAAGAGGTCGTGGACCGTAGGAGAAAGAGCGTAAAGGCGCGACTTGTCTTTAAGTTGGTGATCGCCCATAACTATCACAGGAAAAATAGGCAAGAGTACCTATCGTTCTAGAGCAATATAGAAAGAAGCAAGGTCGTATCCACAGAGACTCCGTGTACTAGTACTCAGCTTTTACCTATTATCTAATCAATTGTTTTTAGTTGATTTTCAAGTATAGGATTTCACAAATGCAATAAACAAGACACAAACAAACAATTTCAAAGTAAAATCAAGTGGAGAAGGCAATGTCCCGGAAATGAATCCCCCTAATATACATTTTACAGGCAAAGTTGAATTAAACATAGACGAGTGTTCATATCTTAGACCGTGAAAATTCCCAATTTAGTGTTATTCCGTTCGCACATGTATTAACACCCTTTCTACTAAAGAATCAAGTGAAACCGTAGCTTACAAGACTCTTAAACAAAAGCATTAACTAGACTTTAGGGTTAGGGTATTCGGGTTTTCAGGACGGAGGTTGCGGTTTTCGTTTGGGAGGGAAATGGATTGGAGGCGTGTTTGCGATGGAATGGAGAGGGAGAGGGAGTCTGCCTCCTGCAACCCTACCGAACAGAGTGGGTTGGGCTAGCTTGGTCCGCTAGGGGGAGTTGCAGAGGGCTCACCTGGGCCCTAGTGGGCTTTGCCTCTGGGTTTGGGTGGGCTTTGCCTCTAGTCTGTTTTTTAGTTATTTGGTCTTCTGGTTTTGGTACGGTTTTAAGGTTTTGATACGGTTCTAACCCGCTGGATTTGTCCGGATTTTTTGCTAATTTTGAGACCAAAGATGAGATTGGATTGTTTTACATTCGATCCCGGTCTTAAAAGATTCTGGTTATACGGTCTGTATCCGATTTTACATCCAGTCCCGGACCAAATAGCCATCCCTAGTAGCAGCAGCAGTAACACGAGGAAAGGAATTAACAAAGACTGCATTCGGTATCCAAGCATCTCTCCAAAATGGCACC